AAAAAAAAAAAAAAAAATACATACATTTCAATACTGGAGTCATTTAAAAATCACTTTCCCAAATCAAATCTAAAGTACTTCTATGTTTCTTTTAAATAACCATATATTGTAAGAACCATAACTTCCTTAAACACAATGCAATAAACTTAAAACTAATTCTCCATTTTCCCATCACAGTACCTCTTCCAGAACCAGTGAGACTGCCACAGCAGATGGATCTCCTCAATCGGGACCTGCTTCGTCTCAGGCAGCAGGAAGAATATGAAGCAGCTCATGATGAAGATGAGGCCCGCAAACAGCAAGAAGATCCCGTATTTGAGGTGGCAGAGGGCTGCTAAGAAGCACTGCGCTATAAGAGCCGTGAAGATCATGTTGACACACACGACCATGCTCTGCCCAGCCGACCTCGTCTCGAGGGGGAACAGCTCGCTCGGCACCAGCCACCCGAGCGGGCCCCACGACCTCCCGTAGGCCAGCACGAATATACAGATCACCACCACCAAGAAGATGCCAATCCCCTTCGGCAGAACCTCCCCTTGCCCGAACTTCAGGGCAAGGGTAATCGCGATCGCAACCTGTTCGAATTATTGTTGAAATATCACTTGTAAGTTGTTCCCACATTGATTCTATAGGAAAAATGGGCCTAAGTTTATATTATATGCCTAGTGGGCTACACTACTCCTGTCATCACCAATTGGTTTCGAAATGAAATCTCTCATTATGGTGAGCTGAGCTCGAGCTCGAGCCCTTAACCGAGCTCCTTAAATAAACGAGCCAAAAGCCAAGCTCGAGCTAAGGTCTCGAGCTCCAGCCTTGACGAGTCGATTTTGAGCTTTAACGAGCCGAACTATAAAAAATTATATAAAAATTCTTTTGTCGAGTCTTTTCGAGTCGGGTCAAGTTTAGCTCGTTAACCAAATAAGCTTTAGCTGAGCTCGAGCTCGACTCGTTAAGGCTTAACGAGCCGAGCCGAACCAGATTCGTTCAATTCAGCAGCACTATGGGCGCGCAACGCAAGGTTTAAGTGTGAAGAAAACGAAAAATACATACCGAGCAGCATATCATCTCGAACCCTGCTTCCAAAAAGAAGGCCCGCCTCCCGAATCGATCGACAAACGCCATGGATATCAATGTGGCTAGAACCAGAGCTGCGCTCGTAATAGCCGACGAATATAGAGAAGCACCCGACCCGAACCCGAGGCTTTGAAAAATGACGGGCGCGTAGAAAAGGATCGAGTTCATCCCGGTCAGCTGCTGGAAAGCCGGAATCCCAAGTGCCCCGATCACAAGCTGGGCCCGATTCTTCCTCTCCAGAAGGTTTCTAAACGGGTGCTTAATCGCTTTTGCTGCATTACTTGCATCAATAAGGTCTTGAAACTCGGCCTCGACTTTCGGGGTTCCCCTGACTTTCTCTAGAATTTGTCGGGCCTCCTCGAGTCTCCCTTGCTCGACGAGGCTGTTGGGAGTCTCCGGGAGGAAAAGTCCCCCGACGAACATGAACGTGGCCGGGACCGCAGCCATTCCGAGAGAAAGCCTCCACCCCCACGGGTGGATCCTCTCGACTCCATAGTTCACGAAATTGGCGATTAGTATGCCGAGGCATGTCGTGAGCTGGAAGAGCTGGTTGATGGCTCCACGGATCTTTGCTGGCGCCATTTCCGAGAGGTATAACGGGACCGCCTGAACAAAGGAGATAAACTGTAACAATACATGAAAAATATACATATATAAAGGCATTTGTTTTCAGCTTACTTACTTGGTTGCCAAATCCGATGCCGAAGCCAAGAAGTATCCGGCCGATGATAAGCATAGCGATGTTTTGCGCGGCGGCATTGAGGATTGCTCCCATGAAGAAGCTGATCGAGCCGCAAATGATGCTTGCTCGACGGCCTTTATTCCGGGTCACGTACGAAGCCCCAAAAGTTGAGACCAAGGCAGCAAAGTAAAGGGAGGATGTGAAGAGAGTTAGGATCTGATTGTCGTATTTGCAGTAATCCGTTTCTTTGAGATGTTGCTGCTTTCTACGGTATATGCTCGGGAAAAATTCCTTGAGGAAATCGTCCATTGATGTCACACCTCCTGTGATTCATCATACACCACACCACGTTTTTGATTGAGAAACAACGAAATTCGAAATTCTTACCATATAGTTGTTTAATCTAAACAAATGCTTAGGGAAAAACTAAGGAAGCAATAAAATTGAAACCTTAAATAAACAGAAGAGAGAAAGAGAGAGAGAGAGAGAGAGAGAGAGAGAGAGAGAGAGAGAGATCAGACCAGATACACCAAGATCATAGCCAAACAAGGAGCCGCCCATGGAGCCAACAATGCAAGCGAAGATGAAAAAATTAGTGATGCGATACTCGTACAGATGAGCCCTCGCACCGCCCTTTGACTCCATTATTCCTCCACCCGCCATTGTTAGACAGCTCTCTTTCTTTCACAAATGAAGGATGAAAACGAAAGAGAGAGAGAGAGAGAGAGTCCCAAAATTTGAAGAAGATTATTTGATCCAATTGGAGTTTGTTAACTGTATAATGAATCTGTTAGCCAGTCTGTCGGGTCAATTGGGGAGTGTGATGGATGGGATGCTATAAATATGGTTGTTTTTTTCACACAACTTGGATTGGATATTTGGATAGGGTCTCCGTCATATGGACAACCGATTTTATTCAACTACATTGACCAATAATTGTTTGAACATTTCAAAATATTATCTTATTTATTTATCTCTAGCTAATCTGTTGTATTTTATTTGGTGGTGGACATAATAATAATGTGTATATTCACCTAATGCATGTCTATATATATATATATATATATATATATATATATAAAGAATTGCAAGATTTTATAAGTAAACATAATTATGAATTTTTCATCTAATTCTTTTTTGTTGACAAAAGGAATTATATTCTTGTTATTGCTATTTTCGACCGATTTGGATTAGTCTTTCGATGATTCTGACGTGGAAAATGGAAATGAAAATTAGTGTTATCTGAAGACCGATATCTTCGGATAACGCTTAAAAAACGTTACTTGAAGAACTTTTCACATGACGCTTTTTTATATTAAGCGTTAATTGGAGAACCTTTCACATGACGCTTTTTTTTTTTTTATACTAACCGTTATACGAAGAACCATTCACATAACGATGTTTTTATACAAAGCGGTATGTGAAGAATCGTTCACATAATGCTTTTTTATACTAAGCGCTATGTGAAGAACCGTTCGCGTAACACTTTTTTATACTAATTGTGATGTTAAAAACTTTTCACATAACACTTTTTTATACTAAGTGTGATGTTAAAAACACTTTTTATCTTAAGCATTATCTATACTATTAATCATATAAAATTTTTTAACAGAAATGTTATCCATACGTAGCATTTTTTTTTTTTTTTTTTTTTT